TTAGCCTCTTTATTTTTTCAGTTGCTTCAATCCACTATAATAGCCTAAAGTTTGGTAACACTTTACTGCCTATTTAACGATGCTGACGAGGGAGGAAAAGAAAAAGGGGGGAGTGGAGACAATAGGCAAAACTGATCAGAGAGGTGTTGAAGCATAAATGAGCTTATATATTGTCTATTGGTTGTGGGAGAAGGTAGACTAGATGCAGACAACAAAATTAATGAAATTTATTAATTAATTGATTTACTTTAAAGAGTTAGGACAACGTACTTAGACCAATTTCAAATACGAAATATATATATATATATGAATTGTGCTACTTGTACATCACCCCTTACACAAGGGGTGACATGTGGGCCTCGGTGCCCCTCCAATGAGGAGGCGCCACTTGTGCATTATGTCACCCCTTGTGTAAGGGGTGATGTACCCATAGCAAGGCTCTATATATATATATATGTGTGTGTGTGTGTGTGTAAAAATATATAAAACAATCAAAAACATAATTTTAATTAAATAAAAATATTTAAAATTAAAATAATAATAATAATAATAATAATAATAATAATTTAAAACTTTCAAATGCACCCATAGTTGTAGCTAAATCGAAGATTAATGCATATTTTGTTTTCTATTCCTAAAATTTGTCTTAATCAAATTCGTAAATTTAGTTGATTCTAATTGGCACAATATATATATATATATATATTAGACGAGTGAGACCCAATAATAACTATATTTTCAATTTTAATTAAAATTGAAGTTAGACCGAACACGCCACACACACACACACACACACACATATATATATAGAATTTCAAAATTTGCACTTACATTACAGAATACTTGAATAATGTTGCGGCGACTACTGGTATTGAGTTTTGATTTACATCCATTTTTTTAACTCCTTTGAAAAAGTCAAGTCAGAATCGATAAAAGCTAGATTCACATTTCTCCTTGTCTAATGGATCATAGCTCTCCCCTGGGAAGCACTGACACGATGTCGGTGACACTTATCGGTGTCTGATATTGTTGACCCCAAAAAAATGAACTCAACAGATACTAGGTCCACCCTTGCCACGCCAAGCAATGATCCGGTGCGTTTCTACTGGAACTGAAGCGGTAATATGGTTGGATGGAATGCGGGAGGTGCTTTCCGGCAAGAGACAAACTGTTCAAGCTCCGGTGATTTTATTTCAACGGCTCTTGCGCTATCTACAAGAGCTCGATCGATTTTCCTAAAATGAGTATCTGTTTTGTCATGGAATATGTGGAAGGATAGATACAAGGTAATATCTTGTAATGTGTTATGATTTCAATATAGATTGTATTATTCAAGATCTAGTAAAGCAAAGTGCATGAATATGTTCTCCCCCCACTCTCTCTATACAATGAGGGGTTTATTTATATTAATCTGACTGACGTGGTGACCGTTAGATCAAATCCACGTGGTGACACCCCCAGACTGAAGCCTCACATCAATGTCCAATCTTTACAATTATTGTTTTGCATAAGATCTGTTGTTCTACTTTGTAGATTGACTCACTGACACGCTAATTCTACAGACACTTTATGGCAGATGTCACGTCAATTAGTTCTGAGAGATCTTTGATTCTGCTATGAGGAAACGTCTACGTTAAGCTTCAGTACTTCGGTCTTAAGGAGCCTCTGCATTTGCATAAAAGAGCTTCGGACTTAGGAGCCTCTGCCTTTGAACAAAGGAGTTTCGGACTTAAGAGACTCTGTCTTGCATGAAGGAGCTTCGGACTTAGGAGCTTTTGTTGACCTTGCTTGTATTGGCTTCCCCATTGACTTTCCAACTAACTAACTAACTTTCTGTCCACTCGGCTAAAGGGAATACGTGGTTGTCCACGCGGACTGCTGACCTGGAGCTTCCAATTCTGGGGGTAACAATGTTCTTGCTGATGTATGGATAAAAAACCTTGGACATGGGGATCGGACCCTTACACAGGGATTGAAGGTAATTTTCATTTATCTATTACATGATTGAGTTTCTTGACTACATTATTCTAGTTTTAAATGTTAAAGGATAACAAAATCACTGCTCATTCAACATTGGAATTTTTTATGAAGAACGGGGGAATAATATATTAAATATGCTCCAGACTTAAATTTAAAGTATTAGTTGCAATTTCCACTGCCTGTATTCGAGATGAGTAGAAAACAGATTACGGGATGATGCATAGAAGAAAGATTTCAGTTGTAGCATTGAAAGGGAAAATGTATATAGAGAGAATTTGTACGTGCTAATAATCTGATAAAACTGTCTATACAAAACTAGTCATTAAGTTCACCCACGTGTTTGACCCTTTCTCTTTTACGGACACAATTTTCTTACTTAAGTGTATTTTGATGAGAATGATTGAATTCATTAAAGCTAATATAGGAGGAAATCACTCTTGCTATTGGTGAGATATTTCTTGTGGATGAAAAACCTGCATTGATGCTGCATTGGGTGATCTGAGATATAATCCCCAAATTTCCATGCTGAGACAAAATGATTAGGTATAAATGGCATTCCATCTATTGGGAATGGTTCCATGTGCAAGAAAGACACTTGCAAACAAATGAGTAATAAAGAGGATACCTATGCTTTCATTTCACTCTTTTACCATCCATACTACTTGCCTTCACAATTCTGAGTTTGTTTACAACTATTTGTTGAGTCAATTGATTCATTCCTGTAAAGAGATAGTGAGCATGTGAATTCTGATGAGTTTAGGCCAATGACATGACCAAACTTTCGGTCCAGTAATTGGTAACAATGCTATTCTTGCCAAATGTTAGGAAAATATGTCAACAACAAGAACATCTACTAATTTATTTCAATTACTTAAATTAATCTACATAGTGGATATTGTTGCTTAACTTGTCATTTTGTTTGACCTATAAATCCAATACCATATCATTGCATCTCATTACATCTTTTGTCGATGTTTTTGGTAGGTACCTTTATCTTCTCACAGGAACGTGAGTAAGGTTTATATTGTTAACTCTGTTTTATATGATGCAAGGATGAAAATTATCATTCTTGTAGTATTCCATAAACGAAGATCATATGACTACTCGTAGGAAGAACATAAACATTTTAAATAAAGATAAAATGAAAATGTTTTGGATTACAATGAAATTGTTCTAATGTAAAGGAATAATGTTATTTATGATTATGATGATGGAATATTGGTGATGTGGCAAACTATGTGGAATAATGGGATCGGGCAGTTCATAATTTATGTGAATAACATCTCTATAACTTAAAATCTTCTTACTGGTTTTTGTTATGTGAATAAAATATGATTAATGAGAAGCAAACAATATGACAGGTCAAGATGTGTAGACAAGACGTCCACAAACAAAATTGTGGCCTATAGATATTAGCTACATAGATGTGACGATTCAGTGCTTTGAAAAATTTCGTGGGGATCCGACCTACCTTGTTGTGGAGAATGACAGAACACTGGCAACATATGGCATCAATGCTGTCTGCACTCACCTCGGCTGTGTGGTGCTATGGAATGCTGCCGAGAACAAGTTCATCTGCCCATGCCACGGATCACAATACAACAATCAAGGAAGGGTTGTTAGAGGGCCGGCTCCATTGGTAAGTTCAACAAACTTATTGCCAAAAAACCATTTAATCATATTCTGCGATAAACTTGATGTGCATGCCTAAGCAAGGATAACATTAGAATTCTGATTATTTCACGCTGTCTTTTTTGGTCAATATTTCACCGTACAAATTTACTGGACCTGTCTTTGGCCTTGGCTCATGCTGATGTTGATGATGGGAAGGTTGTGTTCGTTCCATGGGTTGAAACAGATTTCAGAACTGGTGAAGCTCCATGGTGGGCTTAATTACATTGAATTTGCTTCCATTTTGTATGAATTTGTCGATCTGTCGAGGAAAACCTTGATTCTGCACTATAGCATTTGCAATCGAGCAACATTTTGGCATGATACTGCTATTCCACTCTTGTGTATATCAAATGTAAAGCGTTATCATACATTGAGGAGATGTTTTAATTTGCTATTAGAATTCAGAACTTGTATGATACATGTAATTGCATAATTCTCTGAAGCAATAAATCGATTTGCAACGGATTGTTTCAAAGGTTCAATTTGGTTTTTGGTGTTACACTTCAACCTGCTATCTAGTCTTGAATCGACCAACGTTAAATTGACAGCAGATTGCAATTAAATTAGAGTTTAGTAATTCGATATCGACCTGAATCTTTGAATTAAACCAATTCAATATTTGAAACGGTCGGATACCCCGTGACTGCTTACAATTGTTAAAGGATAAATGAAATGACGACAAACATCCAACCGGGATTCTCTCCCTAAAACATGTGCATAAACTCTAAATATTTGTTTCCCTATGAATTGTTTTAGATCTAATCTTTTGTCCTT